CACGATGGCCCGGTTTGAGAAGACGGAGCACAGACAAGACTCGTCTTTTATTTTGATTTCATATTTTGGTGTCTTATTACTATTAGAGAACACACATGTATTAAATCTTTACTTTTAATGAAATGGATGATGTTGTTGCTTGTTTACTACTTTGCATTGTTGTGATACTGTACATGACGTCCTCCACCCCTGAACGTTTACGCCGTTCTTCGTTTTGGGGTGTGACAGAATCAAGATCTTGAAGGCTCCAACTTGAATCAACACCTTGCGCCAAGCTTCTCTTTCTTCCAAGGGCTTCAAAGTCACCAAAATACACTCTCAAAGGGCTCACAACACTCAAAAAGGCTTTAGGGTTTCAAGATTAGGGTTAGGGAATTTAGAGGATGGAAATGAGGCCAACGCATGGGACTTAAGGTGTTTAAATAGGGTGGAAAACCCTAAAATTAGTGTTTCCTCCTGAGCGGTCAACTCGCTGAGTTGAGACTCCTCAACTCTTTGATATTCCCCATAAAATCCCATGGCTAAAACAACTTCAACACGTCGAGTTGGGGCTCCCAAATCGACAAGTTCTTCAGGAAAAAAAATGTAATACTTGAACTAAAATCATACCAGAAATAAGGCGTTACATTTACCATTATACCCTTGGACTCCCAAAAAACAAACCGAAAGCTTAGATCATCGAACTTATATAAATCATGCCTAATTAGGTCTAAACCCAAACCCTTTAAGTCCAAGATCCTAAGTTGATCCATTTAATGCCCATAATTCCCAAAATAGAAAGTTTCTCGAAACCGGATGCTACACACATAAGATAGTGACAGAGTAAAGGGTGACATTCCACACCCATCAACATGTTTACATAATCACCAAAACATGATTGCCTAAACATGGCCGCATAAACTAGTAAATTTTGTAATCGAGCCATGATTTCCCGTATAAGTTCATGCCTGTAGGTTGTAGTCACAAGCGTTTCGTATGTTATGTCATGCTACAATAAAAAAAACCATTACTTAAGGCATTTAGCATGTATGTTCCAAAGGACATTTCAGAATACACTATATTGGATAACTTTTTCAAATCAAATTTCGGACCACTTTTCCAGAATCCTTTGCTAGAAATGCATTTCGGGTCATAATTCCGGATAATAACAATCCGGATCCATATTTCAGAACTATTTATTGTATTTTGAAAAAGTTCTTAGTATTCCGTGAGATGTTTTATGGATTTCGGATTAGTTCCGAACGAGTGAAAATTTGTATATTTATAAGATTTTTTGATGTTATATATATATATATATATATGAGATTTTTTGATGTTATATATATATATATATATATATATATATATATATGAGTTCTATGGAAAATGAATAACTAGGACAACATATGCTGGAACTAATAATCAAATGATACGTGTCCATTTCTTTATTCACAAGTAATATATTGTGGAAATAATTTATATATTTACTTTAAACTGATGTGTTATCATGTTTTTATTGATTCAAATATGTGTTGCCGTATTACCCTAATAATTCATTTTCCATATAACCCTTCCATAATATATATATATATATATATATATATATATATATATATAATATATATATATATATATATATATATATATATATATATATATATATATATATATATATATAATCAAATAACTACCTTTAAACTTCTAAAAATCATATATCAACAAATAAAACCTATATAATTACATAAATTACACAAGTGTTAACGTACAATCTGTAATAAAGACATATAATTATAAACTTACATATAAAAAATGAATTTTTTTAACGTTAGATGAAAACATTTGTGATTTATTGGATTCAAAGCGTTTTTGGAATGTAGGTTGTAGTAGTTAGAAACGGTTTCCGAAATAAGTGAACTCGAAATTAAACTCCGAAACAGAATTTATAGATGGTCAAATCACAAACTAGATCGGATCGGATCATATATGCATGACCATCTTCCTACAAACGGGTCTGGAATGACCCGTTTCGGACCTTGTGGTCATTTTTCAACAAAAAAAATGGTTATTATTATTTTTTATAATATTGGTTAGATTATTGGATTAGTTTCCATTATTTATATTAGCTAATATCTCAACAATATGGACATCTTTAACAACGATATTGATCATTCTTAGTCTTCAAACATTTTTTTTTGCATACTTTTTGTTATCTTTAGTTCGTGAATAATGTTTCTGTTTAATTATTTTTTAAAACTTGAGAAGACAATTAAGACTTGCCATCACTAATATCTAATTGTTAAAGGTTTTACAATTAGAGGACTTATAATGAAAAGTATAAACCATACAACCACATTACAATTAAAGAATGAAGTATTCATCTTGTAGTTGTCGAAAATTGCAATGCTTACATGAAAGACTCGGATTTGTACCTGGCGGACCATATCTTCCTACTGGTCATTGGTTTGAAATAAGAGACTAGACGTGTTCTAACGAAGTAAGCGTTTGATTCATTCTTTTTGCATAGAGTTTCACACCGTGTGGGCCCAATAATCTGATCTATCATAAATTTACAAAATATTTATAAACAAGGGGAATACTCAAAACACAACGACTTAGTCCAAGAGATTCAGTTATTTTTGTACATTGTCCTTATGCATAAATTAAGCAAAGTGGTATCAAATTTGGTCAATGGTAAGGCAAGGTGGTGACATATTAACATCTACATGCACATGCATTCATGGAGTAGGTATACCTCTACCAAAAACCACTCCTCAATCCTCAAGGATTTGGTGATGTAAAGTGGTTGGAATCTATACATGATCATCATCCATTCACCTCTCTATATATCTCTTCATCTTCATGCATTCCTTTCCAACATCACAAACACTCAAACACTACCTCCACATCAATGGCTTCTTTCAAACTTCTCTACACTACTTTCACACTACTTGCTCTACTCTCCTCCTCCACCTCTTGCTCAGGTTTTCCCAGCTTCCACTTTGGATGGGGTAATGGTGGCGGCGGCGGTGGTGGTGGTGGTGGAGGTGGTGTAAGCCGCCCTATTGGTGGTCGGAAGTATTCTGGACTTTTCCCAGGTTTCTACAGTCATACGTGTCCTCAAGCTAATGACATTGTCATGTCAGTGCTTGAAAAGGCCATTTCAAAGGAGCCAAGAATCGCAGCTTCTTTACTCAGGCTTCATTTCCATGACTGTTTTGTTCAGGTAATTTTTAAATCTATCACTTTTATGATCATAGATTGTTGAGTATTTTAGTCCTTTTCTAATTTTTACCATCAAATTTGAAATAATTTCCAATTCTGGTTCCTATTTCAAGGTTCCATACCTTAAAAAAGAACAAAATTTGATAGCTTAATTACATTTTTGGTCTTTCAAATAGTTGATTTTTCAACTTGTATCTCAAAAATTATGCTCATTATAATGTGTTGATCTTCCTTCCGAGAAACATGACTAGTTTTTCGTCTATACTTGCAAAAATCAGTTATAGCACGGAGTAAAAATATAATGTTGAAAGACCCTAAATAAACACACAAATTGCAAGAAAAACTTTAAGAGAAATCTTTTGGGGACAAAATGCCAAAAAAATAAGCTACATATATTCAAGAAGCAAAAATATAATTTACGCAAATCGATATGAAATATGGATCAAAATCAGCATGGTTATTGGTCACATTTTTATGAACACGAAATTTTGAAATAAAGACATGAATCGTTAAATATATCAATCTTGGACTATAGTCCTTTATTTTTGTATGTGACTCTAGATATTATATCATATAATGTCATTTCATATTGATATGTTGATTTATGATTTTCTAGGGATGTGATGCTTCTGTCTTATTGGATGATCATCCAACATTCAAAAGCGAAAAAAAATCTGTCCCCAACAAAAACTCTCTTCGGGGATTTGAAGTGATCGACGAAATCAAATCTAAACTCGAACAAACATGTCCCGATACCGTTTCTTGTGCTGACATTCTCGCCCTTGCTGCTCGAGGCTCCACTATTCTCGTAAGCACTCAAAAACCACATTCTCCTCTGACTAAAATACCCTTCTCATTTCAATAATTAACGAATAATATTACTCATGAAAATATAGAGTGGAGGACCGAATTGGGAATTGCCATTAGGAAGACGAGATTCAAAAAAAGCAAGTCTCAATGGCTCAAACAACAACATTCCTCCACCAAATTCCACAATTCAAAACCTTTTAACGTTTTTTCAACGCCAAGGCCTCAATGAAGTCGATCTAGTCTCTCTTTCTGGTAAGTTAGCGACAGATTTTGTTAATCCGTCGCTAAATGTTAAACTAATTCGTAGCCAAGTTCTATATCCGTTGCTAAATTTCATTTTTTATTTTGTCTTGTAGGAGCTCATACGATTGGGATGGCGAGATGTACAACATTCAAGCAACGTTTATACAATCAAAATGGAAACAATCAACCAGATTCAACTCTAGAAAGAAGCTACTACCATGATTTAAAATCAGTATGCCCGAAAACAGGTGGCGATAGTAACATTTCACCATTAGATCGCACATCACCTATGACATTTGACAACACGTATTTCAAGCTCATTATGTCGGGAAAAGGACTTCTCACATCCGATCAAGTTCTTCTGTCTGGAAACCTTGGAAAAACCATGGAGTTAGTGAAGCATTTCGCTGATGATCATGTTCTTTTCTTCCGTCATTTTGCTCAATCCATGGTCAAAATGGGAAACATTAGTCCGATTACTGGTTACAAGGGTGAAGTAAGGAAGAACTGTCGTAGGGTTAACTAATTATACATATATTTATCTCTCATGTGTTTATGTCTATGTACTTTGTTAACTTGTTGAAATTGAAATATGAAGTATTGAATTATGAGTTATGTATATATATATATATATATCGAGTCATCAATCTCTTTGTTTTCATAGCTTTTTACAGTATCGATCGAAACAGAAGTTTAAATGATCTCTAACTAATTAAACAAACAGGATTTTAATTAATTTTTGCTTTTCACACTACCCATAGATTTGAGTCTGGAGTTAAGGCCATGATAGAGCTGCTTTCATTCGATCGTAGCCATACATTTGAATCTGGACTTAAGTTCGCAGCTGGGCTGCTTTCAGTCGATGGAAATGTTTGTTCAGCGCAAGAAATCTCCCCTTTCAGAAGTGAAAGCACCTGAATTAAGGATTCAAGAATCAAGAAATTAACGAAATTTATGTACAAAGTTGCTAAAATAATTAATTGGCTGTTCGTTTTTAAAGATTAATAAAATCACCTGGCTCATGCATGGCCTTGATTTCCATCTTGTGCTGATGCATCGAGTAGCAGCAGTTGTCACTACAAGTAATCCATGGAAATCATGCTCGGACTCATCGTATAATATATGGTATGCTCTTTGTGCTAGTAAAGGTCGTGCCTGAATAAAGTTAACTAATCAATCATGAAACTTGATTTTGAATTTTGAGTTTTGAGTTTTGAGGTCAATTGAATAACTTTATAACTTTAAAAGAGTTAAAAGTGATTGAAGTTAGATGATCGATTGAGTTATATGTACCCATTTAACGAAATTTTGATCATGTCTTGGAGCAGATCTATTGCAAAAAAGTCTCAACAGCAATATCCCAAATGCAAGAACGTCGGATTTTATCAATTCCAGTGAGTTTTTATCAGAAGGATGTTTGTGCCCACAACTTTTCGATCGTGTCCAAAAAACGAGAAATAAAATTAAGCCAAATTAATCTCGTAACGAATATCATTTTACATTAAAATTATAATAGAAACTTACCTGCTAGTGGAGGTATCTGATGAATGTTCGATTTGCAGCCATTTAGCATGGGAGAAACCCGTAATCTATATGTAGAACGTGGAATTATCATAGGAAAACTAGTAAGTTACAACTTTAGTACCTGAGTTTAGCACGTTTTTCATTTTTGGTCCTAAAAAAAATCTGATTTGAATTTTGGTCCATATTTGTGTACTTTTTTTTTTTTGAAGAGCAAAGTGGTTATTTTGAAAGTATGAGTAAATTACATATTTTGTTACTGAGTATAAATGATTTTTGTATATAATTTTGATTTTAAAAGCTTATTCTTTAAATATTTGATGCTAAAAACATTTTCTTTTGTGATTATGGCTTTTTTGAAACATAAATAAAATAGGATCACCAAATTAAACAAATTCCATTTAAAATAAAACCAAAAGAGTAAATTACTAAAATTGTTCTTGGTCAAAATTGTATGTTTGATTCCTATTTTTTTGTATTCGGATCATCCCTATAGTTTGATTTTGTTGTTTTCTTGATCCTATAATTTAATCAAAATTGCACAATTGGTCTCTAACTTTATGTATATAAGGATAAAAACGCAACAAAATCAAACTATAAAAATGATCCAAGTGTGAAAAAACAATTAGAGATCAAACCTGTAATTTTGACATAACCATTGAGATTATTTTAGTAATTACCAAAAGAAAAAAAGGTACCAAATTTACCTGAGGTTCTAAGTTGTGGCCTAGAAGAACATTGCATGCTCGTAAATCGCCATGAACTATCGGGCCTCTAGGACATTGTTCATGCATGTAACGCAGACCTTGAGCTATTCCAATTACTATTTTCATTTTATCAGCAAAATCAATTTCTAATTCCTTTGTCCAGAATCCTGCACCAAAACATGTTGATTCGTGACATAATAAAATAATTATATCTTCCTCATAATTAAAGCCTAAAATATATATTCATGAGTCCATAAGTGAAAGAAAAAAACAAAATAGTCACGAACCATTGAGAAATCTGTCCATTAGTGAACCTCTAGAAGCATATGGAAAAACCAACGCCATCGCATTCTCGTTCTGATGGAATCCAAGCAACCGAACAATGTTTTTATGATACATAGACAAAGCTGCCTTCTTTTCAGCTTCAAGAACGTAATTAAAATGATTGCCAACGAATCTCTTCACGAAAACAGCAGATGATATATCTTCAAAATAACCCCTATACACTTGAAACGCCTCATTTGAAGAGACATTAATTATGTTTTTAAACCGATCTGTTATCTCCGATATCACTTCCCAACTTAGTTCAACAAGAAATTCTAATCCACGCGAAGTACTCGACGATGATGCTGTGTTGCTTATTTCAACGAAATGATCCTTAAACTTCTCAAAATCTTCTGTTTCTTGTTGTGGTTCACTTGTGCTTCCGATGCTTGAAGAACTTGAAGAAGGTTGATAAATGCCCTCAAAATTTGGGAGGATATGATATATGGGTTTTACTTCATTGTTCGACGACTGTTTTTTCTTGTATTTCGAAGGTTTTTGATCTCGATAACCTTCGGTTTTGACTCCTGAAGATTCGCCTAAAGGGTTGCATGTGTATAAAATCATTTCTTCATCTTCACTAAACATTGACGTAAATTTGCAGTTTTTTCGGCTTGTACATGGCACAGTCTCCGCCGCAAAACTCCTAAAGAACATAACTTTAAATCATGAGAGAGAGAGAGAGAGAGAGAGAGAGAGAGAGAGAGAGAGAGAGAGAGAGAGAGAGAGAGAGAGAGAGAGAGAGAGAGAGAGAGAGAGAGAGACCTTCCTATAACAACCGAAGTGGCTCCTGTGTTGAGTTTTTCTTCCGATATAATGGCAGTTAACGTGGGCCCAATGACAATCTTTGCCTCAAACTTAACCTAATTCAGAACCCAAGAACATTAATTAATTAAAAAGACAGCAGCTTTGGAAGAAAAGATGAAGAAGTCTATGATTTTATGTGAAAAAAGATAGACAATTAAAACTTACTCCAATGTTTTTACATTCTCTATGGAATGGTCGGAAGATCCGCATATAACCCTCTGTTCCCTGACTAATCTCCTCTCTAAGCTTTGTAATGAATATGTCTCTTTCATTATTTGGCTGATGATTCCGGCCATCAGTTCTGATACAACAACTGGAAATAACCGGTGTGTGTGTCAGATCGCCGGAGTTAAAGATTACAAGGACAACCACCTCATCGTCTGGCTGTACTACCTGCCGGAGGGCGTAACTTAGCGGTGCGACACCACTTTTCTCCCTCAAAACTTTTGGTCCATCCAATACAACGATGAAGATCTTTGTACGATCTCTCTCTTTTGTAGTAAACATAACTGATTATTGGTGGAACGATAGATTGAGGTAATTGTCGATTGTGATCGTTTTATATATCTTCTGATTGGCTTGTTTACACCGAAGTAGATATATATAGCATTTATTGATCGCATAGTAGTTTGGTAGTCCAATTTGCAATGTTGTATAGGATTCCTCCAAACAAAGTTTTCTTGTTTTACCATAGAAAATGTCGTTTTTGAGCTTGAATTCATCGTTAAAATTTTGTTTTGTTTTTCTTTTTAGGGTGGGTGTTCCGCATATGCGATCGAGCCCTGAGTCGTGACTTCTTCACCACATGCAATATTTTCTTTGATTTGTTGTTGTGGGGTAGACGTTGGTCAACTTTTTTCGGGTGGGTGTTCATTAATTATATATATTTCCAGAATAGTCCAGTGTTGTTTATAGTCGTTATTTGTTTCGATTTGATTAAGGGTGAGTTTGGCACAGAGCTTTTGGAAGCGTTTAGGAGTTTCTAGCTTTTAGCTTTTGATAAAACGCTCTAATTTAAACAAAAAGCTCCGTTTGGCGGTACGAGCGTTTAGCTTTTAGTTTTAACAAAACGTTCCGATTCTAAAAGCTACTTCATGTAGCGTTTAACAAAACGCTCTAGAGCTTTTGAAATCAATTTCCATAATTACCCTTAAAAATATATTTATATATTTATTTATTTTTAATCAATTGTATTTTTATGTAATTTTATATATTTCAAAAGCTTCCAGCTACTTTTTCCAAACATTCATATAACAAATAAAAGCTACAGCTTCCCGCTACTAGCTACCTGCTACACCCTACCAGCTATCCGCTACCTGCTTCCAGCTACCAGCTACTTTTGCCAAACACGCCATAAGAAAGACTTTGTGAAGATAAATAAAAAGGAACAAATCCATTATGTATATTTCGTTCGTAATAAGTCTGAGTTATAAAGAAAATTTGAAAGATTAATTAAATAAAGTCATTGGTGTCCAAAAAGTTGATTTTATGAGTTAAGATTTGACAGGATCTCAAGCTATGACCGTATTTGTTTCTTACAAAATAAATATCTCACCCTTCTCTTTGCTTTGTGTAGAATAAAATGTATATATTTCACAAAATATCAAAATAAAATTTATAAATTATAACCGGTTTGCATGATAGATCGATTTAGGGTTTAAGGGAGTCAAAAGCTTGATTTTTGGAGAAAATCGAGTGTCACAACGTGACCAAAGGATGGTTACGATGCGACAAGCCAATATAAAAAATGTGTTTCGGAACTATTCTCACGACGTGATACATAGGTGATCATGACATCAAACCTACTGCAGATGAAACCTGTGATCTTTTAGGGTTTCCTTTGTATTTAAACCCCTCTAAGTCGATTTTACGATTCATTATCAACCTCCATCACCCTCAAACCTTGGAAAAACCCTAACTTTAATCCCTTTGGTGGTTCTTGTCCTTTTGGTGCATTACAAGGATCGAGCCCTATGCAGACAACAATTTTGGACACTGTACTGACGACATGTCGTCGGGAAAGGTTATAACAACGACATGTCGTCTGTAAAAAGTCGTCGGCATAGCTCCATCGGTAAAAATTGAAAATGTCGTCGGGACATGAGTCGTCGGTACAGAATAACCAATCCAGATGACGTGTCGTCGTCAAAGGGTCATCGAAATTGATTTTCGAGGAAATAAAAAACAAGTTTTATTCTAACTTTATCCAGACGACTTGTCGTCAGGAAAAGTAACACCAATACTGACGACTTGTCGTCGGGAAAAGGGACACCAATACCGATGACTTGTCGTTAGGAAAAGTGACACCAATACTGATGACTTGTTTTTGGGAGAAGTAGGTGTCATCCAACTTCCGTTCTAGTAATACAGACGACTTATCTTCGGGATTAGTAAAACCGCTTTTACAGTTATAAAGCTATACCTAGGACATGTTGTCGGTATAACCTTTTTTTTATATATTTTTCACAGGTTTTGTTATATATACCAAATCTGTTTTTTAAAACCAATCCATAAATGATATTTGCAGAATAATATCAAACACTTAATAAGCATAACATACCATTAAAATTAAAATTCAAATTAAAATTCAACTACATAACAAAAAAAAAAAAACAAACAAACATTGTTCTCATTATCATTCTAGTTCTCCTCCTCCTCCTCCACATCTTCACCATCATCATCATTATCATCATCATCATCATCATCATCATCATCATCATCATCATCATCATCATCATCTTAGAGCTCATTAGTTGTTTCGGGGTTATTTTATGAAAACATATTGAGATTAAACTGGAATTATAGCATTTGTTGTGGTTGGAAGTTAGGAATGACGGACACGAATGACCAACAAACTCTGTTCATTAGATCCATGAAAGCTGCTGGCCTATTTGTGTGACCGAAAGGCATGACTACAAACTCGAAGTGTCCATAACGGGTTCGAAAAGCGGTCTTTAGGATATCATCCTCTCGGACTCTTAGTTGATGGTATCCGGATCTCGGATCTATCTTAGAAAAGTAGCTGGCTCCTTGGAGTTGATCGAATAGATCATCAATTTGGGGAAGTGGGTATCGATTCTTGACGGTGAGCTTGTTCAATTCTCAATAATCTATGCACATTCTGAAAGACCTGTCTTTCTTCTTGACAAACAAAATTGGAGCTCCCTAAGGTGAGAAAGTCAGCCTGATGATCCCTTTGTCAAGATGCTCACTTAGTTGACTAGCTAACTCTTGCATCTCGGCTAGAGCTAATCTATAAGGTGATTTGGCGATAGGGGTGGCTATAGGTACAAGATCAATTTGGAACTTGACCTAGCACTCGGGAGGTATTCCAGGCAATTCCTTGGGAAATACATCGGGAAAATCACATACTTCAGGATTATCGTTGATGCTTTTCTCCTCCTTCGTTTTATCCACGACATGAGCAAGAAAGGCATGATTCTTTTTATGCAAACACTTTTGTGCTTGGATGCAAGAAATGAGTCGGAGGTTTGAGCCAGGTTTATCGTCGTACACTATTAGGGTTTCATTATTGGGTAGGTGAAGATGAACAGCCTTCTCGTGACACATAATTTCATCATGGTGGGGGCTTAACCATTCCATGCCAACAATCACATCAAATCTCCTAATATTAACAGGCATCAAACTGATTAGGAAGGAGTGATTATTTAACGTTAGTATGCACCCTACGTAGACATCGTTGGCTGATTTTGTTTTACCATTGGCCATCTCGACCATATAGTTTCATTCAATTTGTGAGGATTTTGATTGAGTAAGTGCTTGAATTTGTGGCTTACGAAACTTTGTTAAACATCACTATCAAATAAAACGCACGCATAAGAGTCGTTGAGGGGAAACGTAGCAGACACCATTGTTGGATCTTGCACTGCTTCTCCTTGCCACATGGTTAAGACCCTTCCCACGTTCTGATTGTTGTTCTTGGGGAAGTTGCATTTAAAATGGCCGGTTTCCCCGCATCTGTAACATGCACAGATGGCTCCGTTGTTGTTGTCATTGGGCCGTTTGTTTTGATGTGGGGGCATCTGGAAATACCAGACAGTGTGTCCCTTTCTATTGCAGTTGGTGCATTGAAAATCCTTGCAAGCCCCGTAGTGATGATTGTTACACTTGTCACATTTGGGATTGGATCGCGCGTATGACTTGGTTGGCGCTGTTGTGGTTGAGGCTGGGGCAGTTAGGGCACGTGCGGCTGGAGCGGTCGTATAATCGATTGCTACTTTCTGTGGTTTCTTGGATGGCCCTACATCCTACCGTCCCTTTTTCTTTTTCCCCTAGTTCTTCTTGCTGCCTCCTTATTGCTTGCTCTCTCCCTCGATTATTTTGGTACTTTTCTTATCACTATGATTATAAGGTTTCTTGGACAGTCATTTTGCACTGTCGTAGGTCTCTAGTTTTGAGGCAATTATCTTACCCTGAATGGGAGGTGTCAACCCCCAGATGAATCGTTCGACCGTTTTTCCTTCAGATGTAATCATACCAGGACACGGGAGGGATAATTCGTTAAACCTTGAGATGTACGCGTCAATATCCGAGTTCTACACTGTAAGGTTCCACAATTCTTGCTCAAGATTTTGCACCTCCCCTTGGGGATAGTACTCGGTGATCATCATTTCTTTGAGTTCTTCCCAGGACATGGCGTTTTCAACGGGGAGTATCATGGCCTCAATGTGACCGTTCCACCATAAAAATCCTTGATCAATGAAGGTGCGGGCAGCGAATTTGACCTTACGTTCTTCCGGACATTCACATATTTCAAACATTGATTCCATCTTCTTGATCCATCATTTCAAGGCTATGACGCCTCTAGTCCCGTTGAAAGTGTGGGGTCTTGCATTGGAAAAATCTTTGTAGGTGCAGGCCCTTACATGTCCTTGATTCATCCCTTGATGGCAGCTTCCCGTCCCTTTACCATTGCCACCATTATTTCCGGTTTGAATGTGGGCTAACGCTGTTGTTACTGCTGCCGAAACTGCCGCTTGGAAGGCCACAGAGTTTATTTCCAACGGGGGCGGCAGCGGTGGTGTTGTGATGTTGTTCTTTCTGTTTGGTCTCTTCGACACCTTTCTGCCATGGACCAGGAGGGCAATGAGTATGAAATGTATTTGCTATACGATTTCTTGATTATAGAATAGTATCGGTGATTTTGGTGCATATGAAGAAGAGTTTGTATATATTCAATATGTAATAGTAACAATAGAGCGCACAATGGGTAATCATATCATAAGAAAATATATATCCGCTTTTCGTTGAATACCATTTCTTGAGTACATGAAAATTTTTCCTTCAAAAGGTATAAAATACATGCATTGAAATAAAATCTAACACGAAAATACATAGTGTTGTGCAATGAAAAAACTCGATGTGGTAGTTAGTGAACATGCACTAGCCGCGACGAGTCGGTTCTGGTGGTGCTAACAATGAGGTGGATGCTCCCTGGAGCTCCGCTAACCTGCGTTTGGTGATCCATACACGATCTTCCAAAGCGG